CAAAAATGACAAATTTATACAACAACAGGTTGTAACTGTTTAATTTGTATAAAAGCAACATACTGTGGTCATCAAAAGAGAGAAAGTTCAAAGTTTAAAAAGACAAGTAAAAAGGTTTTCAATAAATTTTTTTAAACAGTTTAAAATGCATCCGTCACCAGCAATGCAACAAAAGGAAAATAAGTGTTCAGAAATTGATAACTCTATGTATTGTCCCAGACACAAAAGAACCTACAAGAATATGACCATATTATTTAGAATTACCAATCCAAATAATATTTCGTTTACACTCATTACTGATTTTAAAATAATCTTTTTAGCAAACGGTTTACAGACTGCCTCTTCACCATTTCCATGTCCCTATTATTTTATAAGCTTGCAGGGACTTGGGGAAAGTGAGACATTTTCAGATTATGAGGCTAGAATTTATGGGAACCTGAAACGAAGCCACCAAAAGTATGTCACTGTATTAGAAAGTCAACACAAAAAGGCCAAAGAATGCTTTAGTATTGTAAATGCGCTGCTTTTTGACGAGAATGATGCTATGCCTGTTATGAAAAAAGGCATATTGTCAGAACTGCCTTTTTAAGGTTTTGTGAGCCACCTTTTTTGGAAGGGATTGGTGGAGATAATGCACTGAAATGGTCAAAGAATTTAAATGATGTGCCTAAAAACTATCAAGCAGAGGTTTTTGAAGGAAATGCATTTTGAAAGCTGCTTGAACATGCAAATGAACTTAATTCCTCGAAATTTTTTAAAAATTTTAATAAAATATATTTCCAACCTTTTATATCAGCAATGAATATTATGAACAGAATAATCATTAACTGCTTTTCCGCCAAAGTTAAAAACATTGAAAGTTTAAAATTGGATATTCGTTTATTAAGATCTGTTTTTAGACACACGAATGTCTATTAGTTTAAAGGTACACTGTATTTTTAATCATTTAATTGAATCATTAGATCAATCAGGTTTAGGATTATGGTCGGAGTAGGCTGGAGAGTCGGTAAATAGGGAAATAGCATTGACTATAAGGGCAGAATTGGGCAGAATTTTTTGAAAGCAGTTCTGGATTTTCCTCAAACAGGCTGTAAAATTCTGAAAATGTTATTATTATTGGGATCTTTTCTTTAAGTTATTAGTTTTTAAGACTTCTATGTATGTATATTTATTATTTGTTATCTGGAATTATGTTTAAGGATTAGGTGTTTCTTGTTCTTTAGAAATATATAGCTTGGCATCATTTAGTTGTTATAAAAATGAGAACACATGGTACATTGGACCAAATCTCATTATTGTGTAAAAATAAGTACTCTATTATTTGAACAGGCTATTTTATTTTAATTTTATATTAATTTATGTTAAATTAAAAAAATAATTAAAAAAGTGGCATAAGAAGCAGCTGCGATTTAAACAGTGGGTGTTTTGTGCGGGACCCCACCAAATAATACCCCACGATCAATTTTTGTAGGACATTCTGAAAAACCTATACCCTATTCAAGGACGGTGTGTATGTATTCAAAGCTGGCGCAGGTCAAAACTAACTCGTCTCGGAGACGGAGCTGGAACATGTCTCGAGTCTAGAATTTCGCGCCGTGATAATAGTGCCTGTACAGTTTTTCCGAGTGAAGTTTTTGACTACCGTTCGATGGAAGGTGTTAACGAAGGTACAATATTGATCAATTGTTCGACATAAAAGGATTTTTCTTGTAATAAACTGACGTCAAGCATGAACGTGCCTGGCTAGATTTTTTAGTCAACTTACTATTGAAACAAATGAAAAAAGTTATGCGAGTGATAGAGATGAGCTTTCTACCAATTGTTTTAATAAGGGCTTAAGTGTAATCTATTGATATTTCTGCCGTCCTAAGCGCAGAAGCGGTAACTGCACATTTAAAGGAAATTGACATTTTTCCGTAATATGAACCTAGGGTTAAAAATCTCTACTTTAATAAGGTATTAAATCGGTATTTTGTCAGTAAATGATTGAAATATCAAGTTATTTTTAGCGGTGTCTGTTACCAAACTGAGTTGGCAGAGCTATTAACATAAAAGTACCAATATCTCATGACAGCCATTATGTTAATTACCGCTTCTGCGCTTAGTACGGCAGATTTGACAAGATCTTGTACCACAAGGCACAACTGCATTTTTGGCGTCAGTTATGTCGCAGTTTTCGAGTGGCAGCACGGCTGGCCGTGCAGTCAAAGGCGAGGTTCTGCGTCCTATCGGGTTTTTGGCTTCTCGGGGTTCCCTATTAGCTATACGATAGGTAATCCCCAAAGGACTTTTTGTTGTTTATAGTATATTTAAGTATATCATTTTAATAATTACAGGCAATATCTACCACTAAATGGGAGTGCAGTCTACGTAAAATTTTTGTTGTATTGGACAGCAGTTTCGTTTAGAATTAAAGTTCTCATCGGATAATAATGTTACCTCATAATTGGAAGATCATTCGGCCTCTGATAGTGATTAAGTTTTTATTGTTAACGTAATTGTATTATAATTGCAATTGTCTTGTTTATAATAATAAAACGAATTATTTATGTGTTTTATGATAATAGATAACATTCAATATAATACAACTTTAAAAAAAATTCGTAATAATATTTAATTCGGAATAAAAGCGACTCTAAAATCTTTTTTTTAGTACACGTCCGTCATTTAGCGTCAGCCATTTTGAATTTTGAACAAATATTGGTATTTTTCGAAAAAATTACCCAAAAAACCAAGGTACACAAAGTTTGGCTTAAATCGGACAATTTTCAGATTTTTGGCCAGTTTTTCCGGAAAATTGGCCACTGTGAACCATAGCTATGGTTCAATCAGCCATAAAATAAAGCTTATCACAGAAAAACATATTTCTGTAATAAGTTAAACTGGTATCAAGTACTTGGGTCACATAACAAATCTTAAAGATTTGCGTTTTCGCATTTTAACTTTTGTATAGGTAGTCCTTTTTACACACAGCACACCTTGAAAACTACGACATAATAAAATCAAAAAATAAAATCCAATTTTCGTTCCACTCTAATAAACAATGTGTTCTCAGATAGGTGAAAGGTAAAAAATGCATAATTTTAAATTTCATTTTTTGGGGTTAAGCCTTTAAGGATTTTCAAAAAACCTATTTTTCTCTAGAGCAAAGTTGCCGATTTGACCAAAAATTATTATGAAAAGTTGTTTAGAATCATCAAATCAAAAGATATTTAAAAATGTTGTTAAAATCAAAATCTAGGCCGTATCCCAAATTCTTTTATTTAAAAAATTAACATGTGAGAGATCAAAGTTGGCCGAGAATTTTGAAATTATAAGCGCCAGTTGAGCAAAAAAGTGTATATACTAAATCTCTGACTGTGGGCGGATTTTGACCTGAGCGCCTAAGAAAAACATCGTTCAGAGAAATTTGAGGCAAAATATATATATGATAAATTATAATAACATTTGTTTATATGTAGTAAATTATAATAACATTTGTTTATATGTAGTATGTACTATGCTCTACACCAAAAAAGCCCACTTTGACATTTAAATGCAAAAAGGCTACCTTATGATTACAAGGAGTCAACGAGTCATATTGTACTTTTCCGAGGAGCAAGCGTTTTTTACTTTGTCGCTCGCCGTTGTTTCCACTCCTACCCAAAAGCCGTTTGTTGCCTTGGTCATTTAAGTATTTTGGATATTAAGGATTTTGTCAGTTATGTATTAGTAACGACTGCGTCTTCGACGTACGTTCCTAGGTTAGTGCGTAAGTGTTTGTTTAGTTTTTGTCTTGTCTCGGCTGTTGTTTCTATTTTGCGTTGCGTGCAATTAATGCGATTAGGCATTTACCGGTGGGAGGTATTTTTTTGACTTCTACTGTATATTCTATTGTGTTTACCAAATTCGTTAGAATTCAGTTTGTGTGTGTTTTTTTGTGTTAAGGTTTTCTTAATTTATTGTATGTTCGTTTAGAAGTGTCAAATGTTTATTTTGGGTCTCGTTTAGTTTAAACACTTTATTTTGGTGGGGTCGTTCTCTTAAATTAATGAGTTTAGTGACTTTCGTTGGTTATTGATAGATTTATTGTCCTACCCAGCTTTCCTATGAATGACCTCGGTAAGAATTGGGGCGGCTTTTATTTTCGATTTTTTTTGTTTTGTTACTATTGTCGTACTAATGTTACTGTTAATTTTTTTACTAGTGTTTTAGCAAAAGTGCCTCACTTAGGGTTGTGAAAGTACCTGTCGTGGTAAGTGTTGCAAATTATGTATTAGGTTATGCACTTGGATAAGATTACTTATCGGATTTTGCAGATGGCCCTTTCATCCCTTAGTTAGCCTCTTTTGTTTGTCTCGTGAAGAGCATCCAATTGACAGGTGGTTAGACCGCCCGGTAAGCTATCACTTCTCACTTTAACACTTCCTTGACCGTAGGATGGTATTTAATCGCTCTAGTTGTTACACTATAGTTGATTTGCACTTTATGAGTAATTATTTGTGGGTTTTGGCATGTATGTCTTAAGCTGTCTCGATACGATACGATACGACTTACTTGTCAGGTGTTCGAACGTGACTGACTGACTGACGTGACTGTTTTATTTTTTAAAAATAGGACAAAATCGGCGTTATAGATACATATTTTTAGCGTTCCTCATTCAAATGTCAAAGTAGACTTTTTGATGTGGAGCATAGTACTCGTATATAACAATTTATTTTTAAATTATTTTTTCACCGTCTAATCCGCAACTCTATGAAGAAAAACATACGTTTAGTCATTCAATGATAAAGATAAATAAAATAACGTATAGAATGGGTGATGCGAGGTCCATCCCTTCCCTTGTACATTTAGTTTTACTATGCAATTACCAGCGTTTATACTTCACATAGTACTAGATTTTTTTAAATTGATACCTATTGTTATATTATTATTGCTGATAATACCTAATACTAAGGCTCGTAATATTGGCTGACTGTAAGGGGAATTGTTTTGGCGATTTATTAAAACATATTTCTTACCGGATTTAAATCTTGTAAATCTTCAAAGGAACCTCTTTTTCCCATAAGTTTTCTATAGACTACCATAGGAAAATTAACAGCTAATATAACGTTATTGTAAATAGCTAATCCAAGTACTATACCAATAAGTATAAATTGAGCATCGGTCTCAAAACTTGTTGGATTAAACCAAACAGTCTGGCTGTCAGGTTGAACAGTAAACATACCATAATCAGGATTAAATATTTCTTCAATGACCAATTGAAAAAATTCCTTTGAAACGCCACCCTCGTCAATTCCTTGTTCACCTTCGAACTCCACTACCAATTGTTTTTTAAAATCATTTGGATAATCCATGGATATCATTTCCAACTAAAAATTATTTAGTTAACAGTATGTTCATGAGTAAAAAACAAAATAAATTAATCTAAATGTTTTTAAATCCTTTACTCTATATCCGAGTTAATATAGCTTCGGGTGCATACATCAGGGTATGTTTTAATTCATATTCATACATATCTTAGGGGGTTACCTTTACCTTTGAGCTGTCAAAAAATCATTTTTTTATTAAACATTTTCAGAGTATATGTATGTATATGATTATTATACATATTATGTGAATTTGGAAGCTGTAGAGTATTTGAATAGGTATGTTAAAGTGTTTAGATGTTTTAAATGTGGGGGTTTTAATCGTTTCATCATGGTGAAAAGTGTACTGAGGAAAAAAAATCTTAAGTTTACTTTGGAGGATTATGAAACAAAAGATTGTGATAATAATTGTGTAGAAGTAAACAAAAAAGAGACCTGAAATTCGATGTTAACCTCTATATTTTTTATTATAATTGTGAAGTTCTATTAAAGAAAACTGAAATTAAAAAACACAAAATAAAGCATCCAATTGACCAATAGAAATTAAGGAAAAATGATCCTATGAACATTAAAATAAAACATAAAAATATACAGTGCCTTCGAATCCAAATTGAGCAATAGTAATTTTATTGCATAACGAAAAAATTGATATAGTCTGTTTTTCTGAGCATTGGCGACATTAATTATGGGTGTATTTATATACTTGGGTATACTATGGCTAACATACAGTGTGGCCCATTTAAGATGGAAACACATCCGTAACTTTTTTATTTGTTACTAGATTTTAATGAACTTTATCTAAGCTATAAAAAATATTTTTAATGTCACTTGACAGATGCCTACTACATAACATTTTTTCTATGTCAAAATTCGATTTATAACGAAAAATAAAACATATTTAAGAGGTTTAGGAAAAAAATAAGTACGCCACTGAACGCGGCATACTTCAGAACGGCTACAAACTTAATTTCATTAAAAATTAACTTTTTATAACTATTTCAGACAAGTTTATTTTACCACGTTATAAACATAATATTTCAGCATGGCTATCTTAGTTTTTTGTTTCGTATCAATTTATGTTTATAACGTGGTAAAATAAACTTGTTTAAAATAGTTATTAATAGTTAAATTTTGATGAAATTAAGTTTGTACCCATTCTGAAGTATGCCGCGTTCAGTGGCGTACTAATTTTTCTCCTAAACCTCCTAAATATATTTTATTTTTTGTTATAAATATTTAAAAAAAACTTGTCCAAAACAGTTATTAATTGTTCATTTTTAATAAAATTTGGTTTGGTCCCATTTTGAAGCATGACGGATTCAGTGGCGACCCTAATAATTTTTTCAGAATTTTAACATAAAAAAATGCGATAGTAGGCATTTGTTAAGTAATATTGAAAATTTTTATAGCTTAGATAGATTTTTTTATTCTTTATCTTTTGAGCCTTTGTTCATTAAAATCGAGTAAAAAATAAAAAAGTTAGAGGGGTATTTCCATCCTAAATGGGCCACACTGTATATAAAACATATAAAAAAACATAAGTACCTATTCAGATTATATTCTTGAAATTAATTTTCAAGATATATCTATTGATAAAGATGCTGAGTTTTATACTACAAAAGGTAGTTTTACCTTTTCCAATAAAAACCATAAATTGCAATGTTTCAAAAGCTAAGGTAAGCTTATAGGTAGTTATTTAGAAATTTTAATTCCCTTAGTAAACCAAAAACCTTACCTTACCTTATAAGGTAAGGTAAGGTTTTTGGTTTACTAAGGGAATTAAAATTTCTAAATAACTTTAGAAATTTTAATTCCCTTAGTAAACCAAATTTTAATTAATTTAATTTTAATTAATTTTAATTCCCTTAGTAAACCAAAAACCTTACCTTACCTTATAAGGTAAGGTAAGGTTTTTGGTTTACTAAGGGAATTAAAATTTCTAAATAACTACCTATACAAAATAATGATCAAACCAAAAAAACAAATGTTAAGTTAAATTATAAAAAATACAAATGAATATAAAAGAAAGTCATATTTGCAGTCAAAAATAATACCCCACTATGTTCTGCAGACCGGTATTTTATTCAGAAGTATTCAATAGAATTCTAAATTTAAAAAGATATAAGGGAACAGGCGATACCGCTTCCGAGACTCGTAAGAATAATAGAAGTGGCGCAGCAAAGGCTAAAGCCAGAAGGGTTAGGCTCAAGGCACAGTCCATGGACCTGGGCTCTGACAAAGGCCAAAGACCTGCTTCGGCGTAGAGGGGGACTTAAGGATACGGACGAAACGTAGCAGATCCGAGGGAAGCACGCCTGAGTCGAAGAAGGCAAAGACGTTGACAAAGAGATTCAGGACTTTTGGTGTTAAACCTTCTGGTCAAGGTATGGCTTTGAGAAAGAGACGGATACGGCCGAGGGGTAAAGTAGCAATACTTCCTCGTCGGAAGGAACGTCTACACCCAGACCAGGGACGAGAGCTGGACCATCCTTAACCTAGGAATCATGTTCTATTTCTATCCTCTACCATGGATTAAAAGGCTTCCTTTATACAGAGCAACTTGCAACATAGCAAAGAGGCGATCTCCTTAATAGATCGTCACATAGCTATGGGACAGACACATGTATACCTCCTACAAGAACATTGGTCACTTAAGGCGTAAGGGGCCTAGGTAGATGGGAAAGGTGTATCTTTATAAGAGGGACGATCAACTTAATTCAAGGGCTTGAATCTATGTCGACAGACGAATCGAGTCCTCACTAAAAGCTCATTTCTGTTCTAATGAAGCTATGCCTTAAGGACAGAAGGACGCAAACATCTGATTTTATCCGCAAACACCTGCTTTTATCCGCAAACATCTGATTTTATCCGCAAACATCTGATGTTATCCGCAAACATCTGATTTTAATCGCAAACATCTGTTATAATCCGCAAACATCTGATTTTATACGCAAACATCTGATGATATCCGCAAACATCTGCATTTATCCGTAAACATCTGGATTTTATCCGCAAACGTCTGATTTTATCCGAAAACATCTGATTTTATCCACAAACATCTGATGTTATCCGCAAACATCTGCTTTTAATTGCAAATGTCTGCTTTCATCCGCGTTCGGTTTGCCTGCATTTCCTTTGTCCATTTCGGTCCTGTTTCGTACGCAAACGTCTGGTTTCATTCGCGCTTTTTGTTTTCCTTTTTCTCGTGTATACTTTAGTTTCGTTTATCCGCTTTGTCAAATTTTACTGAGCTTTCCGCGAACATCTGCAAACATCTGCTTTTAACTGCAAACATCTGCTTTTAACTGCAAACCTCTGCTTTCATCCGCGTTCCGTTTGTCTGCATTTTCTTTGTCCATTTACATAGGTCCTGTTTCGTACGCAAACGTCTGGTTTCATTCGCGCTTTTTGTTTTCCTTTTTCTTGTGTATACTTTAGTTTAGTTTAACTGCTTTGTAAAATTGTACTGAGCTTTAACTAACTGACACACAACTTTATAACTCTAAAAGGAATTATTTGAATAAAAACAACCTGTAAAGGAAATAAGTTTATTGAACTTCAATATTATTTGGTAAAATACAAATAAGGTCTTTGTTAAAGGACATAAATAGATATTAAATAGATATCATTAAGCTCACATTTAAATTAATTGTTAGAAAACATATATGTTTAATTTCAAATACATTTGGAATTATAACATCTTTAATTTGTACGGAATTTGTTTGAAAAACACTTATTTAGGCGTAGAATTTTTCATCTAACTTTAAAAACTTTTTAATTTTGGCATAACCAGTATTTTTAATATATATGTAAGAATTAATGGACTTATTATACGTATACCTGATTTTTAAATTTAAATCTGTAGAATATAATTAAATTATTTTTCCATTGGGAAAATATCGTGTTGAATAAACTTATTTCCTTTACAGGTTGTTTTTATTCAAATAATTCTTTTTAGAGTTATAAAGTTGTGTGCCGTGAACGGCTAACAACCAGTAAGTTAAAGCTCAGTAAAATTTGACAAAGCAGGTAAACTTAACTAAAGTATAGGTACACGAGAAAAAAGAAAACAAAAAGCGCGAATCAATCACAATCATGCAATGGTTTATTAAATATTTGTACCAAATGCTTATGATCAGTTTCCATGGTTATTTTTTGTTTACCATAAATATACTGGTGAAATCTTTCACAAGCAAACACTAAAGCATACAGTTCAATTTGTGCATATTTGTTTTAACATTCTGTTAGGGGCTTTTGAGGGGGCAGTAGTAAAAGTAAATGAATTTTCATGAAAATTATTCCACTCCCACGAAACTTTATTTTTTAATAATTCCCTTAAAGGCGCCGTAACGTTAGATAAATTTTCAATGAATTTACCAACATATGTAATGATCCCCAAAAACCGTTGTAAATACGTTTTATTTTTTGGTAATGGCATTTCGGTTATGTCTTTTATTTTTGAATTGTTGGGTTTTATGCCATTTTTTGATATTACATGTCCTATATGATTAATCTTATTATTATTATTTTAATTTAAAATTTCTAATAATTTATTTAAAACTTTATCGTGTTCTTCCTTATTTCTACCATGTACCAAAATATCATCAATATAATAACTCCCTGTATATTAAATAAATCTTTAAATTTTTTATGAAAAACTTCCGGTGCCCGATTAATTCCAAACGGCAAACGCAAAAATTTATAACGACCAAATGGGGTAGCGAAAGTACATAAATCGGCAATCGAGTCATCTAATTTATCTTTACAAAATCTACCTACAAGGCATCAAGAGTACTAAAATAAGACGATTCTTTTAATCTAAAACAAATTTCAGGTTCGTAATTTAAAATATTTCCGTAGTATCAAATAATGGAAATAGTATTCTATTTTAGTTTTATTTGGTACGGATCCTTTAATTGACCTATGCCTTAAAAACATTTTTATATTTGCTAATAATTAAATTTAAATTATTAATACTATAGATTCTTTGCAAAATATTTAAA